TTCTTCTAAGGCCCCACCTTCAAATACTGTAGTACTGTGGACTAAGTTTCCAACACATGAATTTGGAGGACACATTCAAACCATATGAGGGAGTAAGGCAGCATCTTCACTCCAGCCATGTGCCCTGTGACTCTCCAAATATTCCCATCCAAGCCCAGAAGTGACTTTTGTCCGTCCTCTATAAAGGGAACTTGCCTTAGGTCATCCCTTTCAACATTCCTATTCTGAGGCTCACAGTAAGACTCTCTGATCCTAATTAGCTGACCTGTGGTCCTTAAAGTTTAAAAGAAAGCTTCTGATTTTTATAAAACTATCATCACTCAAAACAGTCTGATTCTTGAAATCAAAACCTTTGTTTGCATAGTGTTGGCTCTTGAATGCATTTCAAGAGCCTATTTGTGAAAGAAACACACTCAATAACTTTGCCTTTTTCTCGTCTTGGTTTTCCGCTTCCCCGGAAGCAATAACCTCCTCAGCTTCAATAGGCTCTCCTGCCCCTCTATGATTTTGTACTCCCTCTTTTATTTTCTTGAAGGTTCTCTTTTCTTTTTCACATAACTTCTTGTTCCTTATGTTCCTCAAGACTCAGTTTTGTCCTTGTGTTGCCAAGGAAGACCTTTCTGTCTTTGTTCAAGTCAGACAGAATCTGTCTGAGCTGAGCCAGGCAGCCCACCTGTGCAGTTTGCACCTGGTGCGTCTTGCAATTATAGCACCTATCACATGGTTCTCTAACATTATGCTAGCAGATAATTTACTTGCCTTTCCTGTGACTCATATTTTCCACAAGATGGAATTATGTTAAAGGTAAAATTCAGTCTCTATGAACAGAACTGCAGTAATGATTGCTGTCACATTTATCTTCCCTGATCATCTTGGAATCGAACATGCACAAGCATTCTGTAGGTAATAGCAAGTGTCACATTACTGTCCCTCCTGGCCATAAAGCTTGGGCTGTACACTCTCAACTCTGCTTCTGTTCCCTCATTACAATCACTCCAGGAAAAAAACAGAAAACAAAACAAACAACAAAAAAAAACAAAGAGCTGCCAAGCTGTCCCAGGTTAATAGCACTATAGGGTTAATAGGCCCTGTACATAACTGAGCTCCAGTTTTTTCCTGCTGAAGAGAATTGCACAATACAGTTCTCCTTTCCTTTTCTTCTTTGACATTTCAACTGAAGTAATTTCATGCAGCTTTTAACCATGCATGCACATGCACACACAGATTCCCTTCATCCCTCCTTCCCCTTCTTCCCCTCTCTCCCTTACTCACTCTCCCCTCTCTCCTTCTCTCTCTCTTTACCCCTCTCTTCCTCTCTCACTCTCCCTCACTCTCTCTCCCATGCTCATTCTTGCTCCTGAACACACTCGCATGTTATGACACAAGCATGCACCAATTCTCAGTCTATTACCTACCACTCCTTTCCTTTCTTCTTTTGGTCAAGTATACAAGGAAATCTACACATCCCCCTCTATGCTTCCTTTCAAAAGCCTCTCCTTTATCTCTGTTCCTCTTCTTTTTCCATTACTTCTTTCAGCATTTCCTTCTTCACTGATCTGACCTTTGCTTTCATGTCCTGGACTTACTGTGAATTGTGAGAGATGTGGATGGCTATTGTGTATTGCAGGTGTAAATGATTAGATGCAGACATTTCAGGACTGGTGGCTACATAGTCTGGACTGTATCCTAGGGCTTGAGCGGGTTCTATAAATGGAACTTGAAGGAGGAAATTGATCAGATTTGAGTTTTATGAAATCATTTTGACAGCTGGCAGGGTCATGAACTAGAGGAGGGATGCTATTGGAATCGCAGAGACCAAGCTCAAGACAAGAATCATGGGAGCCTATCTCCAGTATGGATAGTGGCTATGGAAAGGAGAGGCTGGTTTGGGGACTGAGTTAGGGGATACAATAGAAATAATTATCTCTTCCCCACCGTGGTGACAAAATGAGACAAAAGGAGTGTGTGTGTGTGTGTGTGTGTGTGTGTGTGTGTGTGTGTGTGTGTGTGTGTGTGCATGAGCAGTATGTAATTTTAACTATGAGAAACTCTCTGTAAGTGTTAAGTGCTCCTGGACATAGTTGGCTTCCTAGGATAATGCCCTGTAAGGCTGAAAATTAGATGTGTATATTTGATAAACCCATAAATGGGAAAGAGAAATGATGAATTGTGAACTCAACTTTTCCAGCTGGATCTGTAGAGTTTTCTGTTTCTGTTTTTCTTATGTCTATAATAAGCAACAAATTTGTGTTAGTCCAGAACTGAAAATCATCCCATCAGTGTGTTGAGGAGAATTATCTCCCGGAGAATTCTGGAACATTCTTGGACAAAATTTCATAAGATCAACTAAATAGGCACAAGAATTTCATGTGACAGGAGATCATGGGAACAGGAAAAGTAGGTCATGTTATTTAAGGATCATAGAAAGGATGGTTGACATGAACATTCCCATCATACTAACAGATGAATATCTTTTAATTTCAGCTGCTGGGGCCACAGAAGTGTTTTATTAGGAAAACAGGAAATAGGTATTTTACTACCTAAATAATAAAGTAGAAACTTTAACAGCAGCATTCTGCCTGGATGATGACTTTGGTCTGCCTATGACAAGAAAGGATTTTAGTGTAGCAATTTTTATCCAGGAAAAGACACTTTCAGAGATTAGCTTAGGGGATCACTATCTTCCAAACCTCCCTATTTTGCAAGGCATATGAAACAACAATGATGAATACACATAGAACAATAGATGCCGAGTTACATTTGTGCAATAAAGTTAATAAGACTCTGTGCTCCTAAGAGGATTTTATGAAGTAGCAAACAGGGACACCAAGAACTCTTAATTACACCATGTCTTTAAACATGTCAGAGGAGAGAAGAGATAATCTCAGACAAGATAGTTACTCCCCGAGATGCCTGACTAATGTCTCCTAATTGTCCCCCAATATCCAGATGAGAAAGGGTTGGAAGTTAACCAGAAACACTCCCCATTGTAGTGGCACATGGGCAACATATTATTATTGTACACATGTGAAGTTTGTCATTTTAGATATATGGGTTTATGGGAACTATGATTGTCACAGGCATACATTATTAATATTGTGTTAGATATATATGTTTTTAAGTGGAATTATTATAACGTGTGTGCTAGGATTAGTAAGCTACAATCTGCTTGTTCTGGCTAGTAGGAGCCAATTGTGCACATCTCTACCCAACTTCCTGTTAGTTGATGTCAAATTGGTAGGTTGAAATTGGTCATGGAGGGAGTTTTTCACCACTGAATTCTGCAAACATTTACCAGTACACCACTGAACATTGATGTTCCTCAACATAACAATCCCCCAGAATCCCTCTCCCCTAACACAAAGCCTGACCTGATACATGTCTGTAGAATGAATGGACAGAGAAAAAGATTAGAGGATATTTAGAAGAACAAAGAGAGACTCTTCAAGACAAAGTTTTAAAGAGAGAAACCTGCATTTGGAGGCACGTGTAGGAATAGGTGTAGCTAGGAAGAGAAGATGAGAATAGTCTTTCAGGAAGAAAGAAGGCAGACAAATGAAGAACATGAGGAGTTAGAAGAATCATTACAGAGTTGAAAATGACTTGAAAATAGATGTGGACAGTGTCAGAAGATGAACACAGGGTTTGATGACAGAGTGATCTGAAAAAGCTATCACTGGTAATTTCTAGCTTAGATCATCAAAGGTGAACAGACAGGACACAAAGTAGAAGTTCCTGCTTCACAACGATGCTGTCAGACATGAGCCTGTTTTTGAGCAATTACCTATCATGTTAACTTTGAAGAAAAAAAATTACTTTTTTTAAGAAAATAAAGACTAATTTTAGAAGGCAACTGTGCCTGATGTAATATTAACAAAGTAACCTTACATTGATCAAAGTCACTGAGCTATAAAGATCCAGTGAATATTTTTCATTATTTTCCACGTTTTCTGGTGAACTACTCTGAGCATCATTTCTAGAGACGCCATTCTAAGACACATGAATAGATGGAACCGTGTATTTGCTCTTCTAGTGTTTAATGCAAGAACTATGGATGTTGTGTCAGATTCTGCTAAACTGTTAATGAAAACAGTGTGCCAAGCACATTTCCCAAAGTACTATGGGCGATAGACCCTTTTAGGGGTGAGGAGGAAAAAAGGGAAAAATTCCAGTCCAACATAGCATTGGAACACTAGAGATCTCATTCAACCCCATTTTTGTATGATGGAGAAAGGTGAGGATCAGACAGATAATTGAATTTGAAGACATTTACCAAAATGGGGTCTCCTACCCTACCCCCCACTACACACAAAATTATGATTTTGTCCTTTACACCTGGAATGGGGTGCAGTGAAATCAGCTGCATAGTGGCTAATGCCTGAACTTTAGAGTAATAATTACCTGGGTCTGAATACCAACTCCATGTTATAGTAATAGTTGGGCAATGCTGCAGAAATTTTATAATCTCATTGAGCCTTAGTCTCCTCATTTATAAAATTAGAGATAGCAATGTCTTCTTGACAATGTTATTGTGAGTATTAAATGAGATGGATAGGCAGAATGTTTAGTATAATCCAGGGCATGTGATGAAAGCTCAGAGAATGTCAATTATTGTTTTTGTTGCTGTGATGTTTTCGTTTTGATGATGATGATGATGATGGTGATGGTGATGATGGTTTTATTTTTAACTCAATCTTTGGATAAGGATGTTTTAATAGTTAAAACATTTTGACAATTGGCAAAGATGTACACACACACATATAAAATTCAATTTTTCAGATGACAGGAGATAACATGCTTTCAATGCATTCTGACTGCTGTTTTACAGTCCCAACACTCTAAGCCAGTGGTCCCCAACCTTTCTGGCACCAGGGACCAGTCTGATGGAAAACAATTTTTCCATGGACTGGGGAGTTGAGGGGGTGATTTGGGGATAATTCAAGCACATTACATTTACTGTGCAGTCAAACCTCTCTGCTAATGATAATCTGTATTTGCAGGCACTCCCCAGCACTAGCATCACCGCCTCAGCTCCACCTCGGATCATCAGGAGTTAGATTATCACAAGGAGCATGCAACTAGATTCCTCACCTGCACAGCTTACAGTAAGATTTGCACTCCTATGAGAATCTAATGCCACCACTGATCTGATAGGAGGCAGAGCTTACAAGGTAATGTGACTGATGGGGAACAGCTATAAATACAGATGAAGCTTCACTGGCTAGCCCACCACCCAACTCATGCTGCGTGCCTCAATTCCTAACAAGCCATGGACTAGTAATACTAGTCCACAGCCTGGGGCTTGAGGATGGCAGCTCTAAGCCATCAGCTTCTCTCTGAGGAAGTACTGCAATCTGATGAATAGTTTATGATTTTTAACCAGGTCCTCTTTGTCATGGACCATGGTAAAGTTTTATAGGAGAGGATGACACAGAGTGTTGCAATAATATCTACCAAGTGTAACCTAATAATTAAACAGATTAATCACTTTGAAAACCAAAGCAGTTGATCAGCATGAATACAGAACATTAAGACTCAATAATAGATGATCAAAATCAGGAGGGTCATAAAAATCAACGTCTGTTCCATAGAAGAGTCACTTAGCTCTGTGATGTGGACCTCCCCAATGGTTCTGGACAACAGTCACCCATCACCCAGCTCCTCATGCTCTGGAGGAAGCAACCACCAGAAAGGAGATGCAAAGCTCCAGTGGTTCCAAAGACACCACCTGAATGATGAATGTCTTGCAGTGACAACCTCCAGCTTCTGGGACTTCTGTCCATTGCCTACTAACTGGCCTCCTTGTCCCTGCTCTTGGCCCTCTCCAATCTGTCCTCCACACAGGGGCCAGAGTGGCCTTTCAAACATGTGACTAGATCTTGTTATTCACTTGCTTGAAGCCATCTGATGAACTTCTATTGTGCTTTGAAGTAAATCCAAATCCTTTACCATGGCCTTCAAGGCCCAGCATGATCTGTCTCTGTGCGGCTCTGCAGCCTCCTCTCAGACCTCCCCGCCCTTATCTCTGCCCTCCAGACATCGATCAGTCTTTCAGAGCATCAGACAGGACTGCCTTCAGATCGCCCAGCCTTTGTGCTTCCTGCTTCTTGGTCCTGGGTAGCTCTGCGCTGGCTCTTTGTGTGTCTGGCCCCTGCTTATTCTTCAGCTCTCAGCTTAAATGTCATCTCCTCAGTGAGGGGCAGTCGACTGTTCCCCTGGGTATTCTGCATCCCTGTTTCTCTGCTTCACAGCAGCTCACATTTTAAAAGGACTTTTAAATGATTTGTTTACGTGTTTATTACCTGCTCATGATAGCTCTATGAGGAACGGACATGTTCTGTTTCGGTTGCCAGCATACATCCAAGGTATTTCAGCATTTGGAAATTATTAAGTAATCTACAAATTAATAATCACAAGTCCTGATAACACAATGAACACGTACTAAGTACTTACAATTGGGTCAGGTCCTCAGCTGAGCACTGTGCATGGATTTTCTCATCTCTTCCTTATATAAAGGCTGTAATGACCGCAAATACTATGTCTACTGATAGATGGGTAGACGAGTCCTTGTGGTTATGCATTTAATCTCAGGTCACACAGCTAGTGATGGCAGAGCAGGATTCAAACTCAGACAAAGTTTAAGTTCTTAATCTTTACTTTGTGACCGCATGAATAAGTGCAAGTTTCTTTGCCATATCTCATCAGTCAACTCCCGCTGGGTCTTTGATCAAGCATCAGTCATTCAGTGTGAGACCCCTCCATGCAGTCTGAAATGGTACCTCTGCCGTAATAATTGTCACCCTGAATTTATTTCAAACAGAGCATCTGCCACACTATGCTGAGATTGAGTCGTTACTTGTCTATCCCAAGTACATCTAGAATTCCTTCTTGGTGGAGACCCTGTCTGTTTTATTAACTTTCTCCCTATTCATCCTCCACACAATTAATACATATTGAGCACATGTTTTATCCCAAATCAAGACTGGGAATATGGCAATAAGCAGGTATGTTTCTCATTCATGGGGGAGGGAAGAAGACATCAATTATGTAAACCATTTAACAAATACAAAATGATTTTGAGAATGATAAATTTTATGAAAACAAACAATACAGGGGAATAGAATAGAGAGGGCCAGGGGAGAAGAACCTACTTCAGAGAGGGTGGTCAGGAAAGGCCTTTCTAGGGAAATAATATTTAAGCAAAGACCCAAAGATCTTGAGAACATCTGGGGGAAGGTGTTACCAGGAGAGGACACGTCTAGTGTCCCAGGTGTAGGACACAGTGTAGAAGTCCTAAGCTAAGAACGAGCTGGGTGCATGCAAAGGACAGAAACCAAGAGCTCAAGGCCCAGACTGTGTGCTGACCAGATCTGCTCAGCCCCATGTGTGCCTGGGCCTCAACCCCCTACCTTGCATTGCAGCCCCTGTGATGGTCCTGTGGTCCTCAGTCACAAACCTCTGTGACTGTGAAGGTGTGCCAGCACCCGCTTTTCTTGGAAGGCAGCTATGCTCACAACTATACTACTAATGCCTGTCCCTTTTCTTTGCACCACCAGATGTTGGGCCTCCCCGGAAGAGGTCTTCTTTGAGTCAACGGTGACTCAGTTTCCTCAATGACTATTTGGGGGGTCTGGGTTACACAATACACAAGTTAACAAGAATCAACACTCTGCAGGGAAGACTCTGACCTATTTCACACAGAGGACAAGAAGGAGTCAACAGATAACATTGCTCACCTTTCCTTCTCTTATGAACTATAAGACAGGCAGTGGTTTCCCTACAAGGTGTCCAGAAGCCAGAGCAAGAAGCAGCATTTGTTGCAGCTCTGCAGCCAGCTTGGCTATGGATTGCTCTTCCTCCTTCCCTACTTCATGTCCCTTGTTTTTCTTACTCTTGCTTCTCTCTCTAAGATAGTGCATTAGAATAAAGCATTACCACATAAGATTTTGTCTCTGACTCTGTTTTTTTATGCTGGAACCAAAACAGACAGTTTAGCAGGAGCATAGTGAATGAGAGAAAGCAAGAGACAAATCTAAAAAGATGAACAGGACAAATCCTATAAGGTCTTGTAGGCAAGGGCAAGAGTTTTAGACTTTACTCCAACTGCAATCTATGAGAAGTGGATAGCATGATCTTACTTACCTTACATGTCTTAAAAGGTTACTTTGGCTACTCTATGGGTAACAATCTGTCACTGGCAGAGTCCCTGGTGTGTGATATGCAATTGATACATGTTTGCAGATTGATTGCAGGGATTCATGTCCCCTCTAACAGTTTTATTCTTCTAGTTGGTCTGGCTTAAACAGTTTATCCCATGCATGAGTCCATCCATTAATAAATGCTTGTGGAAGACTCAAACAGCATATATGCACATTTATATTTTACCTACTAGATTTTCCTTTTATCCCATAAACTTTCTTTTCTCTTATAACCTCCATCCTCTCGCCTCAGGCACCACTTTTTATTGAGTTTGGGTTAAGAGACTACACTGCTAACTATGATTTAAAAGGTGATTTAGTAAGACTTAGCATTTCTGAAATTATTCTGCGGCTGAATAGAAAAGAAGAATGTTCTTTTTTGTCAAAGTAATTAAACTTTGAATATTTTGGGGGGTAGTCTCTTACATTATCTCTGCTCACAAGCACTGTGAAGTAGAATCGTGGCCACTTAAAAGGGAAAGCTAAAAATTTAAGCCTTTCCACACAAGCCTTCAGGCCTTTTCTTTCCATTGAGAATAATTGTGCATGCTGAAAATTGTCAATCTCAAGAAAGGGTATTATTAATCTTTCATGGGAGCCAGAGTTCAGCCTTGAGCTGGTGAGGGTGTGAAGGGTAGTCAGCAAGTAGAAGGTAGGATACCATTGCTCCTTCCCCAGAAAGGATTTAGCATTCCCATATTCTTGGTGAAGTCTTTTATAATATTCAGAGCTAAAAGAATGAACAATTTCATAAATTTTATACTATTATGTTCCTTAGCATATTATTCATAAAGTCCTGTGTAATTTTGAACAGCTTACCTTATCTTTTGCTCTACCTGTCTAAGAAAAAAAACAAACAAACCCTTTACCCTTCCCTCAATATTGATAGATGAGGCCAGCCAGAAAGAGATGGGCCATGATTAGAGACTGCCATGCTTGTTAGCATGTCCTTAAACCAAAGCCAATATAAGCCAATTCTAAGAGGGAGCCAAAAGTCAGTAGCTGACAAGACCAGAAGCAAATCTCAAGACCAAAGTCCTCAAAAGAAAACGTAAATGTAAGGAAGAATTGAGAGCTAGGATCTGGGGATCAAATGAATTCAAATAAGATTGAGCAGAGTCAATGAGTAGTGAGCCAGCCTGGTTACCTCAAACATCTCGGAGGCTACAGATCTTGCCTGTATTTATCTCTGGGCTTGTGGTGTGTGCTTTTGTTGGGCTTAATTGAATTGAAGGTTCAGTTTGGGAAATGAAACCCTATAATTGGTCTTACATCAGATAGTTCAGCTTAATAAGGATACTCCCACTTCCTCAAAATGCCTATCAATGCCCTAATGGTCATGGTCTCTCTCTTTCCACCTAAATGAATACATCTCCCTCCAAGCATAAGCAGGATTCTATCTGCCAGTCCTAGTCCTGGTATGTTAACATCAATATGAAGTTTCTAATTAATATATGTTGGCATAAAAATAAAACAGAATTTAATATATTTATTTGACATATATGTACAGATGCGTGTATATATATTCCATCCTCATACCCACAATTTGAACCAGTTACATTAAATATATTGGCTTTCTCCAAAAATCTTCATCCCTATACTTTACTTTTTACTTTCTGACTTTCTGTGAGTGATATTACATTGCTGACCACCCAAAATATAATAACCAACACAAAAGAGGAGTACTATTTTTAAGGTTTGTAAAATACACATATATCATCACTTGCCACATTTAAGTGGTTAGAAAAGTTAAATGTACAAATGTACAACTTCAACAAAACAAATCAATATTTGCATGAATATAATGGTACTTTAACTCATCATGTAAATGTAAGTCTTTGCATACTCAACACCATTTCTGAGACTGGCACTTCCTTTGTAGAGCTCCTTCAAACTGTCATTCATCTTCATGCCCAAAATAGAGCTTCCATGAGGTCAGGCAGAGTCTCATTAATGCATTATATTTGAAAATCAGTATGGGCTATTTGATAGAGCGTGTGATTTGAATAAAACCTGAGTTTATGTCTTGGCTAGAATATTGTGGAATATTTCCTTCCTGTATTGAATTTTAAAGTACTCATTGAGCATTATTCTATGTCCCAGATCCTGGAAATCTAGCACAGAATGATTGCATGAGTCAGGTTTGGCCAGGAAAATGGAAATGGCTATAGGTATATCAGGCAAGATAATCTTAGTGTGGAAAGTTAGATAACAGACTTCT